AAAAATGATGCCCCTGAAAACCAAAGAATTCCTATGTACTTTGTACAAATGAAGTCTTAAAGAAAATCTGTAAGAAGGTTATGCGTGTGACACACTTTCTGTTGCCTTCTGGTGACTTCATATTTCTGCCCACTGCCAAGCTGTTTTCTGGGCTGAATTGGGACTCTGCAAAAATCATTTTGAAAAATTTGATTTCTCTGTTCATGTTTTTCAGTAGGTTATGGATTTATGTTCATTTTTCAATGCGTGATGCTAATTTTAAATCCATTCTGGGAGGAATTTGGTACATATGGATGTGGCAGATGAGCTTCGGCAGTGTGTGTGGGTTGTGTTTTATCCAAGTGTCTGTCACGATTCGGGAAAGATCCTCCTTATGTAGAACTGGCAATTTCCTTTATGCATTATATCTTTGAGAGCCCTAATCACGCTGTGTTTGGAGTGTCATCGCTGTGGGCTGCAGTGACACACAGTGGGCCCCAGGGGGTGCCACGTGCGTCTGTGCAGCCGGGCCGTGGGGAACGCCCTGTGCTCAGCCTGAGCCCATGCTTAATGATAGGCGGACCTGCTCCCAGGAGGCTGGGCTCTTGGAAGCGATGTGTGCGGATTCTAATGTCCTCGTTTCAGCAAGTGGGCCAGCTATCGGCTCAGGGAGGACTTGTGACAAAGCCAAAGGCGTCTGGTCTCCCCTTATGCTCATACAGCTGGACAAACAAAATGGAGGGGGGGTGTTTTTGGCATGGCCCCCCTGCCATTTTTTTGTGCCATACACTGTTACTCAGCACAGATATCTTCCTCCATTTGCTGGATCACAGGATTTTGTTGTGCCTACAAAGTATTCTCCTGGCTTATAGGGAAGTCCTGTTTCTTCAGTGCCTTTCTGGAGGTGATTGCAGAGTGCTGTCAGGCCTTTTCAAGCGACCCAGGATGGAGACTCTAAAAGAGGCGTTCCGTTCCTGTTAGATGGTCTGCTTTCAAGGTCCCGGCTTGTCAGCTGACTGCACGTTACCTGGCCCTCAGGCAGTGGTCTCACACTTGCCGCGCCACCCTCAGAAAGGCGGGAGGTGCTGTGCCAGCCTGCCACATGAAGGGGTGGCATCTCCAGAGTCAGACTGCGGACTCGGTTTGGCTCAGCCAAGCGGTCTGGGGGGGGCGGTGTGGCTCGTATCACTGCCTTATAAGGGCAGCTGTAGCTCCTGTACAGGCGGGGGAGGGGGGCTAGCTTGCAGATAGAGAGAGAGAGAGAGAGAGAGACAACGGCACTGAGCCACAGCGATAAGACCCTGGAGGATAAGTGTGATGAGACATTTCACAATAAGAGCGCCTGCTTGCATGCATGTAACTGAAGGACATTCCTATAGAGCACAACAAACAAGGCAGAATCATCTTACAGCGTTTATGGTTTGTGGCTGGGGGACTCTAACCAGGGTTACCTGTCAGCCTTCCTAAACCAGTGACATAAGACCTAAGGTGTCATTAAGTCTCCCCCCACAAAGGGTTACCAGAAATGATTAGCAGTTAGATGTATTGTTTTGAAGCATTATCATAATTGTGTGCGGTGTAGTGTGCTGTACGGAATTAAAATAGCTTGCCAAATTGCAGAGAAAATGATCTCTCCAAATAAGAGAGAGATCATCTGGGAGCAGCTGGAAATGTTGATATTGTACTTGTAACTAAAGGAACCCTTTGCTACCTAACTGTTCGTCAGCCGCCCCCCATAGACATTTTTATTTAATAATTCATCATTTATAAATGTGCTGTCAGCAGCTTTGACAACATTGAGAGTGCATTTTTCTAACTCGACATTAGCTAATTGTGATGAGTTGTTAGGCACAGGAGACTTTTATGAATGAATGAATTAGAAATGGTCCTGCATCATGCCATTTACACCACACGCTATGTAGCGCCATATCAGAATTTTAATGTTTCCATGTTCCCGCAGTGCACTGGTCATGTGTATATGATGATTCATGTGTCTGTTTTTGGGATCAGAGCTAACAACCTGCCAGTGTACATGTATACAAGGGCTTGGACAGTGGACTTTTGTTCCTGTTCCTCCTGGTCCCAGCGCTGTGGCAGAGGTGTGCTTCTGGTTTGTGCCAGGGGGGTGCCCGAGGGATCTGGCTCAGCTGCCCCCTCTTCCGTATGTCGTCTTTCCTTGGAGTGCCAGACAGGCAGCCGTTATCTTTTATGAGGAATTCATAAACTGTTGAATACAATGTCTCGCTGTGTTCTGTTAGGTTGGTTAGTGTGTGCTCTCATTCCTGGTTGCAGGTCCTTCTGTCACCACAAGGGTGTGATCTTTCTCCGTTGTCTTGGATGCACCCCCTCCGTGCATCACGCCTCACCATTGTTTTATCCTCTCAACACAAAGCCCCATTTCATCTCCCCCCCCCTCCCCGCAGGACAATTGTCACTGATTAGAGCTGTTCTGCCCTCTGACTTTCTGGCTCTGATTACATGCCTGTCGTATTTCCCTTATGTATATTATACATCACCCTCCACCCTTATAAAGATTTTTAAAAAGAGTTAGAAAAGATCTGCCTTTCAGTGAAGTAGCTTTATCTCGCACTGAAAATAAGAAAACTCCAGTCTTTCTTTGAAATTAATTTATTCAAAGAAAAACAAATCCTTCATCAAGAATTATTTTTAACAAAAACCACATGTGCCACGATTATTGGCATCCCTAGAAATTAGAGTGAACACAATGTAACTGAAGCATGTTTCCCCTGTAAATTGTACATCTTTGAGTTGAGTGGAGTGAAAAAACCTTCAAGCTGTCGTCCATGACTTCCTGATTAACTGGGGTACAAACATGAGGCGACACAAAGCCCAAATTCCCTTCATCCATCAACATGGGAAAGATAGGAGTACTTTCAAACAAAATGAGGGAGAAATGTGTTGACCTACATCAGTCAGGGTATGGGTATTAAAAAAATAGCTACTCGCCTGAAAATGCCCATTTCTACTGTTAGGGAAATAATAAAAAATTGGACAATAACTAGAATTGTTACAAACCAGGAAGGGCACCCAAGTTTATTTTTCCCCCCACATACAGTGAGAAAGATTGTAAGAGAGGCAAAAAAAAACCTCTCATATTACAAGACAAAGTAAAATCTTGGGGTTACCACGTCTCCAAAAAAACCATCATATGCCACCTTCGTGCTAACAGGTTATTTGGATGGTATGCCAGAAAAAGCTTTTTCTTGTCAGTTAACCACAAACGTAAGCACCTGGAGTTTGCGAAACACTACTACAACTTTGACTCGTCTGATGAAACAAAAATAGAGCTTTTTGTTAATAAACATTCAAGGTGGGTTTTTCCTCCGAAGGCCCTGCAGATTTTGTTAGGGTACATGGCATTATGGACTCCATGAAATACCAGGACATTTTAAATCAAAATTTTGCTGCCTGCGCCAGGAAACTAAAACTGGGCCGTCATTGGATCTTCCAGCAGGACAATGATCCTAAGCACATGTCCAAATTAACATAGAAATGGTTAGCTGACTGCAGAATCAAGCTTCTGCCATGGTCATCTCAGTCCCCTGACCTGAACCCCACTGAAAACCTGTGGCTGAGCTGAAGAGGAGAGCACACGAGAGGGCCTAGGACCCTGGATGACCTGGAGAGATTCTGTACAGAGGAATGGTCTCAGATGCCCTGCTCTGTATTCTCCAACCTTATAAAATGTTATAGGAGAAGACTCCAGTGCTGTTATACTGGCAAATATTAAAAGCAGGGGTGCCAATAATCGTGGCACATGTGTTTTTGTTGAAAATAATTATTTCTCGATGGATTTGTTTTTCTTTCAATAATTTTTTTTTAAAGGAATGGTAGGTGTTTTCCTCATTTTTTCAGTGAGATGAAGCTACTTCACAAAGGTAGATTTTTTTTCTTTTTTTTTCTTTTTTCTAACCCTTTTTACAAATCTTTACAAGGTGATGCCAATAATTGTGTAGGGCGCTTTATATTCCTGTTGCCCAATACCTGGTAAGTGGTGGAAGATTTATTTATTACAGTTGTAAAAATCATCGTCTAGTCTGCATGCTTAATCAGATGTGCAAATGTCACTGACTGGCACTTAAGAAATGTGTGATATTTCAGTAATGTGGTGTTTATTGACTGGACGGGATAAGATGACTCTTTCCCCTGTGATTAGGCAGCTGGTGCCTGATGTGTCTTGGTCAAATTCACAGATGTTTTGATTATTCATAGTCCTCACATACTTATCGATGGTCTGGAGTTTGTTGCCTGGACGCTTGCAGCATTGGAGAGGCGAGGTTATGTTGGGGTGCCCAGCAATCAGCCGGCTCACTCTCTTGTAACCTTAACCAGTTAGGTGGGTCGTCCCTGGCCTGGGGCGGGGTGGGGGTGTGGCTACGGGAGAGCAGGCTGCTTCTGGTGTCCCTAGTGGTGAGATGAAGGGCAGGCCACACGGAGCCTGGACCGGGTCCTCCGCGTGGCCCGCGAGTGGGAAATGCGGTTCTAGGCATCGAGTCGACTGAACTGCCCAACTTCTGGGGGGGGGGGCTGAGGTGGAGGGGGAACGCCCCTGTCTCCATGTAGCTGGCCTTAAAAACACCCTTTGCCTGCCTTTACCAGCAATGTGTCTGTTTGGAAAGACAAATGATGACTTTATGATCCACGGTGACCCCAATATATGACTTGTCTCTAGTGAGCGCGAATGATTGGTGGTGGTGTTTTTCATCTAATTCTTCCTGTATTACTTCAGTACTAGAAGCGACCTGGATTGTCTGGCACTGCTTCCATGTGACACTTTCAGGCCTGTAAGCTTTGCACGCGCTTCCTGCTGGATTCCTCCCATAGTGTTCGAAATCTCTGCCCCTCAGGCTGCCTCGTCCCGCATCTGGGTCACGAATGTGGGTCTGGCAGTCCGTGTGTGGGCCGGCCAGCACCCGCATTGTCGCTGTCGTCTTCCGACTAGGCGGTACCTGTGTTGCAGACACGTGTGTGACTTCACTGTCTGTCACTCTGGCCCACAGGAAACCTGCAGGAACTGCCACGTTCTGTGGAAGGACCACGTGGACAAGACCTGCGAGGAGGTGCAGGAGAGGGATGAGATCCGGCTTAGGGTCACTTTGTAAGTCCCCTGGGAAGATTCGGTGATGTCATCCCTGTGACCTGCCTGCACCGCATCTGGGGGGGGGGGCTGTAAATTTCAGACTGCCTTTTCAAGCTCCTCTGGAACAACTCGTTTCTTGGAAAAACTCGTTCTTTGGTCAGGCTTGAATATTGCTATTTATTCCAAGTCAAACTTGAGTATATGTTTAAACTATCTGCAGGTACCTGTTGTATATAATCACTGTCTGAATGCTGTCAGCATGTTAAGAGCAGGACATTGGATGAGAGAGTGTGAGGAGCCTCGGTCTGCAGCTAGATACAGGCACAGAGTGTGAGGAGCCTCGGTCTGCAGCTAGATACAGGCACAGAGTGTGAGGAGCCTCAGTCTGCAGCTAGATACAGGCACAGAGTGCGAGGAGCCTCGGTCTGCAGCTAGATACAGGCACAGAGTGTGAGGAGCCTCGGTCTGCAGCTAGATACAGGCACAGAGTGTGAGGAGCCTCAGTCTGCAGCTAGATACAGGCACAGAGTGCGAGTATATTTGTGCGTTTCTGTATGCAGCACAGTCATGGTTTATTGTACGCATGAGATTTCGCTGCTTAACCTTCTGAAGCATTGTCTTAGAATTTTAAAGTCATATTTTGTTTCTAACCAGCACAACAGCTAAACAGTTTATATTGAGTCCAGGAAGCTAGTTTCATGGCAGTGGCTTCCTGAAGCTGGAGGAAGCAGCTGCCATGGAGAAACGCACTTCCTGTTTTGCTCTGGCCGTTTTCGTATTGTCAGATCCCTGCCTTATACAGACAGGAAAGACCTTGGATTACCTGTGATGTGAAGGAAACCCCCATCGTGCTTCCATCATGGCCCTGTATTGCAGTCACCAGGGCAAACCTACCTGCCCAATTTTGTGTGGGGGGGGGCGGGCAACGTCAGCAGCTTGCTTGGCTAGTACCCTCCCCAATGATGACACCCTAGGTGGCTTATAGGTGTGATTTAATAGGTTGACTGGGTTATAAAGTCCTTTTAAGAAAAAAAAGAAAAATAGACCTTGAGCTGAAGTTCCAGCAATATTACTGACCCTTTCAGTGTCTTGGTGTGGCAGTTCTGAATGCTTAAATATCCCACATCCTGTTCCATGTGCACCCCAGCGAGGAGAAGATGACGGCCGCCCGTGTCAGGAAGTGTCACAAATGTGGCATGGGGCTGGTCAAGTCCGAGGGCTGCAACCGCATGTCGTGCCGCTGCGGGGCCTTCATGTGCTACCTCTGCAGAGAGCCCATCAATGGCTACAACCACTTCTGCCAGCACGCCCGCTCCCCCGGGGCTCAGTGCCGGCACTGCAAGAAGTGCTCCCTGTGGACGGACCCGACGGTAGGCGGCCCTGTCCGACATGCCAACAGCGACCCGGAGCTTTGCTTGGGAAGTTGCACATAAACCAGTGAAAACTTTCGATTGCTAAAGAGCTCACGAATGGTAGAGTTTTAGCAGGCTGGTTTCCCGAAGGCCTGTCCGGAAATAGTCTTGTATCTATCGCTCGAGGCAGACATTTAGACAGGAGATATTTAATCTCCGGCTCACTGGTGAGCATCAAAAACTGAACCTGTCAATGACAGTGTACTTCGTCATATTTACTGTTAATATATACAAAAAATAGGTCATATCTTTATAGATAGTGGTAGATTGAAGATCATCATCAAGAGGCATCACACCAGTAATACCAGGTCAGAAGCGAAAACGGCGCTCTAATATGTGCGTATGAGGGTGCATATTAGCGTTACCTGCTAATGTTACAGAAATGTTGCAGTAGTTGACGGTAACTGTCCCTTTGGTAATTTTATACAGATGTAGCAGCACTGTTCTGTGGCATTCTGTGGTAGTACTTCTACAGTTGATGTCTTTAATTTGTGAGTCGTGATTGTTGAAAGGACGTTTTGTTATGTGCAGCAAGATGATGAGCGCATCATCCAGGAGATTCAGAGAGAGGCTGAAGCTGAGCTGCAGAAGAAGAACTCCGGTGAGTCCCCACCCCCCACCCGCTCCAGCCTGCTTGCCCCCCCCCACCTGCTCACCGCACTCTCCTTGCCTTCCCAGACAACAAAGGGAAGCGCGTGGGCCCTCCCTCAGAACCCATCCCAGACAAGATTCCTCGCCTTGCTCCTCCAGTCATGCCAGTGCATCTGGAGCCCCCGCTGCCGGCAGGAGGCCCCCCTCACGGCCACCACCCGGGGCTGCTGGTGCCCCCTCAGATCATGCTGCCTCGCCTGCCCCCCCAGCCCCTCCACGTGCAGCCCATCCCCGCCCCCTATGTGCCGCCACTGCCCAACCTGCCCCTCAACTATGAGCTCCCCAACATAAACCTGGACTTCAACATGCCTATGCACTACGGACCTCATCACCGCTTTTTCAGGCCCCTCTGAGAACCCCGTCTGCCCACAGGGGCACAACACGCCAAGTTGGACTTTTTTTTTGGTTTGTTTTTTAACCGGCACACACCCGTGCTGCCCGTCATTTATCTTGCTTTTAAAGTTTACAGGATGAGTACATTGGTCCTAGCAGAAGTGCTTTAAGCGTAACCTCTTGTCCTCCGTCCTCGCAGTTGTAGTAATGCGTTGACTTGCCAAACCCGCTGCTGGCACGTTCGGACTCGGCTCAGTGTTAGTAACCATGTCTCACGTGTTCTACGCCGACTCCAGAGGAGCGCAATCCACCAGTGCCGTTCCATGTCGTGTTCCTTGAGCGCAATCCACCAGTGCCGTTTCTCTCGAGTACCTTTTGTCAAAGTTGAGCGTGGGCGGTCCTGATGCGGCCGTGTTAGCAGTCTTCCCTTGGACGCTGGGAGCGAAGGCTCGTGCTACCGTGACGATGAGCACGTCAGGGGTGCCGTGTTCCAGAGGCTGGGCCACAGCTTATGACCAATGTGATGTTCAGCACCTGGTCTTGCCCGCCATGCGGACGATCCTGGGTCCCGACTCTCCATTTTTGCCCTTCTGTCAGGGGAGATCCAGGGAATGTGGGAAATGTGACAGCCTTTGGCTTGGTATTTTCAGAAGGGGGAAAGACTCACTCCTGAAGACTTTAATCCTCGTTGAGTGCCTGCAGATTTTTAGACCTTCTTTGCAGTTACAGATAAAGAGCACAAGATGTATAATTATATACACTGTTTAGAAGGCAGATCTTACAGTAATGGAAAGCACGAACGATTTATGTTAAAGGAGTAAATGTTTAATAAAGTTGTACTGAATAAATAAATACAAAATATGTTTAAAAATTGTGCTGTTACTGTTGATAATCAGTGGGGACATTGCATACATACAGTCTAAAGTTTTAAGGGGGGGGGGGATAAGAAGAATATAAGCAAAATTTCAGATTTATTTAGTGAGTTCATAATGCATACTATGATATTCATGAACAGCATATACATCGGTAACTTAGGCTGGAGGTGCAGGGGTTGATGAAAGCAAACCCAAATGTCAGAGGGAGCTGTTTACTGTAACTATCTCTCTCAAGAAATCTCCAGCTGCTTCATTTCCCTATATTACTATTAAGTGTGTCCACAATAGCATTCTCCAGAGAAGACGCTGACAGCTGAATGGTTTATGGAATGATTATTATTAGTTTGTATGGAGTCTCTAAGTGGGTGGTGACTGATTTATATTATGGGCTTATTCGTTTGGACGGAGTTATTAAATGGGTTGAATCTCTCTGTGGATGGTGAATGATTATGCTGTGGGGTTATTCATTTGGGTGGAGTCTCAGTGGGTGTTGAATTATAATATTGTGGGGTTATTTGAGTCTCGCTGGGGTCCAAATTCCTAATTTTTGATGTCAGACCTGGAGGAGTGTTGCTCGGTGGGTGAGAGGTAGGGATTCAATGGTGTCTGACTGGAAAGCTGGGTTGCTTTAGTACTGGGGTTACATACACAAGCATATTTAAACAAAAAAAAAAAAAAAACTGATATAAACTAAGGCTGAATGCAGATGGAGTAATGAGAGCCCGGTGGTTTGGGGTTTGTCTTGTTTAGTGTTCATACAATGCTCAACACGATTATCTGTCCCCTAATTTCCGTCTATGAGAAACCCCGCCTTATGTTCGCATCAAACGTCATTAGCATTAGCTTGCATGAGTTTGCATTACGAATCCAATCTGTTCAGGTGGTGCATCGAACATTTTCAAGTAGAAATTATCGGGAATATATCATGATGTCCGATGCTAACAGTTCTTGTTGGCAGTGGAAAAGTACCAATAAAGAGATCGATAAGCGAAGTGGTGTGGAGAGAAAGGGATGAGCACAGAGGTGTGGAATCAGGTTTGTGTGAGTGAATTTGTAAGGTTGTCCTTTGTAAAGCTTTCTTGAAAATTACATACTTTTCAAATGAACTTCAGATTCATGGTGTTTATGTAATGGTTATGATTGATTGGATTTCTGTTAAATGCCAGCAAACCAACATCTACTCTGCACAATTGTTTTACTTGGGCCAGAAGTTTGAAAAAAGTTTAATAAGAATTTGAACATTCTGTGAATCCATCCATCAGCTGTCTTTCTGCTGCTTATCCAGTGCAGGGTCATCATTCTTTGAACCATTTTAATGATAATACGCTCCAATGCGTTTCCCAGATGTTGACTATTCACTAAATTACAGTCTAGCAGTCTTGAGTGTTTCTTTCCCAGGCTCGTGAAGCCAGGTGTGTCTTTGTGGAGCATGTGCCTCAGCCAAGCAATGTCCTCAGTGAGAAAAACGGGCTGGTATCATTGTTCACTGTAGCCAAACACCAGGAAGAGGGACCTCCTATAGCTCGCAGTTTAAACAGGAAGGAGCTTTCTCACATTATAGCTTGTTAATGAAGTGGCGGAAGAACTTCCACATTTAAATTTAAACTGACCATTGTTTTGTTGTGCAGTTGTTTGTAGGAAAACATGCTTGTGTTTCCTAGTATGAAACGGCACGCTTTGTGGTCTTCATCCGATTTCATTTTGGCCATTATGGTTCTCTGTTCTGAGATTGACAAAATTGGTAACAGGTTTCTTTTGTATTTATTGACTCTTTGGTTTTGTTAGGAATGCTGGATTTGTTGAAAGAAGCTTCGATGCTAGATTTCATAAAGAAATTGTGAAATACTGAAGGATGTGCCCATCCCAGCTGTATGGTCTTTCCCAGCATTCCCGAGACGTGTGTGTCCTCTGTGAGCAGACGGCAGTGTTTGCGATTGACTCCACATGGCATGACGCCCATTCGCTGGTCACGGCGCCACCTTCCCGCCGTGCTCAGTCTCGCCTCTTTCAGCATCTCAGCATCTTCTTTTGGCAGAAGCGTGTCCTGGTTGGATGCCGAGACCGGCGGGATAGTACCAAAGGAAATTAAAAGGAGAGCAGCCTGTGGTCTTGAGGCTTTGTCAAAGACTTAGTTATGAGGCTGTGCTGTGAGATTCCCGTCTTTTGGCCTCTGTCTGTTCGCCCAGGCCTTGGGTCTTTGTCATTAAATGCAATGTGCTTGAGGTGAACTTGTTCCACCCATCGTTGTATTCCTGAAGTAATTAGGAGCTTTCTGCTCTGTGCACAGAAGACATTTTAAAGCAACAGTTGTTCCTAGCAGCTATGAATATCAACTTGGTGACTTTAGCTACTCTGTTTCTGAATATGAACAAAAGCCACAGTATGTTGCATACATTCAAGGTATAAGTACCGTATTTTTCGGACCATAAGACGCACCTTTTCCTCCCCCAAAAGAGGGGAGAAAAAGTCACTGCGTCTTATGGTCCGAATATTGCTCTGCCCCCCCCCCCTCTGGGGTCGAATGCATAGTTGGCGACGCAGCGTACTTCTCGCGTCTATTTCAGTTTATCTCTCGCTGAAATCTTAATGTAGAATCATGAAAAAACGCTGGCTAAATCCGTAATCTGTCTTCTTTTCAAAACGTCCATTGTCGGAAGTATTACAGTTTTTAAAATTAGTTTAATTTTTTTCCGATTTAACCTATGTCCCCTTACTTTGTTTTACCTGCATCGGGGGTGTGTAGTACCGCTGTCACCCGAAGATCGCTATTCACATTCTAAATAGCCGCATTAGCGCGTATTCAAATCGCATTCGCATGGTAATTTGGTGAACAACGCAGCGGTGAAACGCGATCCAGATACATCCCCATCAGCGCCATAAAAGGGGGGAGGGATGTGGCCAGGTGTCAATGGATCATTCATACACATGAAAGTTTTTTGTTACTGAAGTGTCTCCTTGTTTCTTTGTACTTTTATTGTTTTTTACTGACTTTATTTGTTAATAACAGTGATAATGGTTTTTAATGCTGCTGTTGACTACTGTTCACTGTACATGGTTGACGTAAAATATTGTAGGACACTATTTGGTTCAGAATCTTTTTTTTTCTTCATTTCCCTCCCCTACAACTAGGTGCGTCTTATGGTCCAGTGCGTCTTATGGTCTGAAAAATACGGTATATTAAATATGATGATCTTGAATTCAAGTTATAATGGTTTCGTTCACTGAGTCAGTCCCAAACAAAATACAGTACTGGGGTTACTTTACAGTACCCTCCACTATCATTGGTGCTCCTGGTGAAGGAGTGTGTGGCGTGGTGGCTCTGAGGCTAGGGATCTATGCCAATAATCGGAAGGTTGCTGGTTCAAATCCTGTGAATGTAAGAAAGGCATAACCATGCCCAAGGACCGCTGTTGGAGAATTATACGAAAGAGTAGCATCTTGGGGTGACCATGTTTCCAAAACCACCATCAGACCCCCCCTTGGCAACAGATCATTTAGAAGGCATGCCAGAAAAGGGCCTTTCCTGTCGTCTGATCGCAAATGAAAGCACCTGGAGTTTGCCAACCGCTACTAGAACTTTGTGACTATGTTTATCGTCAGATTAAATGAAAATTAAGTTTAACTAACACTCGAGGTGGGTTTGGGGTAAAAAGGATGGTTGCACTGAAAAGATCCTGATCCCCACTGTTAAGTATGATAAAGAGAGTGGTTCTGTGATTTCATCCATTTTCCTGGGTTTTACCCTATTCATGGTTACAAGGGGCCCAGAGCCTATGGGCACAAGGTGGGGAACAACCCAGGATACGGTGCCAACCCATCTCTGGGCACACTCACACACCACTCACTCACACACCATTCACTCACACACTCACACACCATTCACACCTATGGGCTATCTGGTAACTCCAATTAGCCTCAGATTGTTTTTGGACTGTAGGGGAAAACCAGAGCACCCCATGACAACATGAGGAAAACATGCAAACTCCACATACATGGATCCCAGGTAATAGAGGTGTCAGGTGACAGTGCCAACCACTGCACCACTGTGCCACCCATCTGCGAGTTCAATGATTACTAAATATGAGTGTTTAACTCCTTGGCAGAAATCTCTATAGAGCTGTAGCAGTATATGGTATCTCATTGTCTGGGGCTGGGTAGCATGATCGAAATACCAGATTAATATATAAGTTGGCCTTCGTATTCTAGTCATATTTTCTGGAATCAGACTTAATATGTGAAAACTAAGACTTAGAAATCTTTACCTTTCATTTTACTGATAAAGCTTTCAGAACTTCAGGTCTGCTGTGACCTGCGACTCTGACCAGAAAGCAGTGACAGGATGGATGGATGGTAAACAATTTTTATTGTTGTTGTTGACTTCTATATAAGCCTTAGAGAACAATTAGGACAGTGATAATGTACGATACTTGGATTTACAAAGTGAAAGAGTTTTATAATTATTTTCATTGATATTTATTTTGCTAAAGGAAATCTTCACAATTTAGTGCTTACCCTTGCCTGGTGCAGCTAATAGTATAAGTAATATTAGATATTGATTATTAAATACAAGATATTGACTCATTAGACTTGAGGTTGAAGGACCCTATAAATCTGATGCAGTTAAAAGGCAGCTCAGATGGCTATGCTCAGTGAGTGTTACCCAGTGTCCGTCAAAGGACTGTCAGCGTTAGGACTACTGACTTAGCAACTACTGTGAGGATGTTTCCCCTGCCCTGAAAAATAACAATTAGCAACAAATGTATTGTTTTATGATCATTGAAATTTGAGTGAAGGCGGTGTCTAAGATTCTACATTTTGAGACTTAATTGTGACAGGAGTTGCTTGGCACAGTATTAGTGGTAGATAGAAACGGTTTTAAAATACACGAGTCACTGAGTATATGCTTTAGTTCATAGAAACAGCAAATGATGAAACTAATTCTCTGTATTTCAAATGCAAACTTTATTTTAGCATTGAAAGGTAAAGAAATGGCACGCTTTGGAGCAAAAAAAAAAAATACAAAATCAAGAAGTTACATTTTCCATCTTCCTATTTAAGTGGTTCTTTTGGGGGTAACCAAAGCCTGTAGTCTGAACAAGATACAATCATCCTCTTTGTCATGGGTTCAGGTGTCCCATCAATCACCTATCCATCACTGTGGCACTTTACCTCCCAGCACACAAGCATGTGTATGTTCACAACACAGTGTTTCCTAAATGTGGGCTTTGCAGTACATAGCAGATGGGCCCAGCTGAGCTTTTTTGATTTGATTGAGACTGAGGGCGTCACATGATACAATTCATGCGACCTCACTTGAGCACTTCATATTAATTTTAATGATGATATAACCAGAATTTTTATGTAAAGTGTGTTTATGCTAATAAAATATTCCCATTATCTGACATTTATGGAAAATGCTTCTTGTTATGCTTCATTTAAGAAAATTGCTGACAAGTGCTAAATAAAAACAAAACACTTTTGGGGACAAAACTAGACATTTGGAACACTTTTTGGTTTAGCACCAAAAATCAAGGAATCCTCTTTTCAGACTTCTAAAAATCCTAATCATTTAAAAAAATTAAGATCGATCCGTTCCATAGCTCAGTAATGCTAAATATGACCTCGGTTGTCTCAGCGAAGAAAAAAAAATAAAAAATAAGTGAGTCTCCGACGAGGGCCACAGCTGACAAGGGCCGTTCTGAAAGGTGACAGTAGCTTTGGAGCATTAGCTGTAAACCAAACTTTCAATACGTGCTCTTTGGTTAATAAGATGCTCTGTCAACATGACAGTGGATTTTTAAAAATAGTCTTCTGTGCATAGTCATTCAAATAATTTATCTCACATTCCTGCATTTTAAAGAAACGGAATTCACCTTATTTCCAGTCATACTTCTAAGTCCGGACACAAAGTACTCATGTCTTACCTAATTAGCTACACCATCTAAAAGACCCTGTTTGTAATTTGAGGAGTCATTTAAGAAAATGCCCCAGGGCGAAAGTTCAAGGTCCCTCTACCCTTGAGTAATAACCCTCCTCCTCCAGTGCTAGTATATGTACCTTAAAGTGAATATGTGCTGTAACTATTGCCTGTAAAAGGATTGTCCATACTTAGGAGCTGCTTCTCATGGTTGTGCATTAATACTGCAACACACAAGTAAGCATTTGCACCAACATGAACTAGTAGTTCGTGATTTTTTAAACTGTACATTGTACTCGCAACATCAGCACTTCAGAGATCTCCGAGTTTGAATTGAACCTTTATGTTGTCACCAGCATTGTTGAGATGAATCACTTCTCAAATACATTAATTTAAATTTTTACCACGGTCAACACAAAGCACAGCCATACAAATCTAGAGCACAGATGTTGTGGAATAATTCTACTCTTGTATGATAATTTCAAAGTTTAGTTACAGATATGAATAGCCAGGCCTCGCTAAAAGAAAACACTGTAAAACTAGCATTTACAAAATATTGACCACCGGCTCAGGTGTGATGCTGAAATGTTAAGCCGTCCTTAACATACAGCTTTGCATGAAAGACAATGCAAAGCAACGCTGAATTAAAAAAAAAAAAAAGATGCAACTGTAAACAAACCTGAACAAATATGCATTCATGAATCCATGGTCTTGTGCAAGAATAAGTATTAGAAAATGCTGAGCTTTGCAAAAAGGAAGAGTCACGCTATAGTTTTCCAGAAAATGCATGGCTTGTATCATCGTGCTACATGACCCTGTTCAGTACATGTGAACAGCGCTTAAGGCAGAGCCAGTCCTACCAGTTTTTCTGCAGGTCAGCATCCTGAAACCTTAAGTGCATGCAAACTGAATTTATAGAAAGGGCTGGTCGTTGGTGAAGTACATCTAGTACTCCCACATAGTGGAGCTGTCAGTGCCGTCTGCGTTGGCCTTCAGGGCACCAGCGTAGTCTCCTTTTATGTATTTGCCCTCCATGGACTTGATGGCCAACTTGTTGTAGTCACAGAACTCCAGCATGAAGTCCACAGGGGTGTCGCTGCCGCTGACCACGGACGCATCCTCCCCCACCGTCCAGTATTTCCCAGTAGAATCTGGAGAAGAGTAAGGGGTTTCTCCACTTCAGGGATGACTGGGAAAGAACACTGGAGCCACTGTATAGATTTTTTTTAATCATAAAATCCCACAAAAGAAAGTATAAACCAGCCTAGTGTTACTTAGGTTACTAAGCACTGAATTTGTGTACCTACTTGTAGACATTGTCCTTCATTGCACAAGTGAGTTTTGGATTTTCACCATTTCTCCCAACATGCAACAAAAAACCTGAACTTCTTTAGAAGGCCAAAACAAAAAGGGAAGTAACCTTTCACAGAATCCCCCAAACAAGTGCTTGGCCCTAACCTCTGAGACTATAGGATCCATTGTTGAAGTCCAGCTGGAAGACATCATACGAAGAGCGGTTGCAGTCCAGGGTCCCCGTCAGCTTCCGGCAGCCGATGAAGCCGAGGTCTCCACGGAGCACAATGATTGGCCTGTTGATGAGCTTCAACAGGAACTCTTCAGTCTCACCTAATTCCATGTCATAATGAGCCAACATCACTGAAATACCTCTTACAAGACGTGTTGTACAGGACTATAGTGGTCATAGAAAAGGTAAACACTCAAATTCAACCAGTTAGACAGGCCCTGTATTGGCACTGTACGTCAACCAGTACAGACAACACCATCAGACAGCAGACGCCCTTCATAACTGACCTGCAGTGTCATTAACAGCAGCCAGCTGACCGTTCTTTTTGGCAGACACATATTTTCCATTTGAGCCTTTTAGTACGATCTTCTTCCCATGCCATTCAACGTCAAAATAACAGCTGTCAGACCTGGATGAACAAGGACTTGAATCTGAACAAATGCACTCCCTGGTTTGAGTGACAAGTCACTGAAATGTGTTACCAGCACCCAATTACATTCAGCATCTCAGCTAAGCCCAAACACTTCTCAGATTGTTCAGTAATCGTTACCACCCACAATCCTGTTCTGAAAGCTTGCTCATCCTCTACTACTGCTCTTCCCTGACGATATAGGCACCTAACAAATGTTAATGGCTAAATCACTTCCCTCATGTGGGGATTGAGTGGGTATGATAGACATAGTATTGATAAAGAACAGTGATGTGCTAACAGGTGCCAAGTAAAACCCAGATTCTAGTTTGTTCATTTCATATAAGGCACAATTCTGTTGCCTGAAGTTCTAACTGCAGAAGCCTCTGGTCTTTTACAGGAGTCATTTATGAGTCTGAAATTTGCTGCTTACTTCTAGGCAATAAGCATGACAAACTCACTTTGAGTCGGCAGTGCACTGTAAGCCCCCATTGGCTGTTAAGATCCAGTATTTTCCAGCACAGGTGCGAAAAGCACATTTCTTTGTGTCCTTGCTGATTTCCATCTGAAAGGTCTCTTGATCACCCTCCTCATCCTGGTTTGCAGAGAGGTCCATGCCTGAAGCAGGAAACAGATGCATGCCAATTGAGTTGAGGTGATAGTTGTCAGATGCAGAAAAACAAATTGTATTTCAAACAAATTTAAAAAAATTGTGCTAATCCGTCTGCCAAGAAATTAGCCACAAACTGCATTTAAATGCAACAATTTCCAAAATAAAAAAAATTAAAAACCCGAGAAGAGCCTAGATCTGCCAGCACTAAGGAGCAGGATTTCATGCAAGCATGTATAAAGCACTCAGACGAAGATGGAAAGGTAGGTCAAGCAGGGAGGGATGTGGAAAATAAGGTAGTTTTGGCACAAGCATACCCATGTGGTTATATATTGGATAACTTCAGGGCAGCTAGATCAGCCTGAGGAAAGAATTCATGTCAGGCTTTTGTCACAATTGGAGAGATAGAAATACTGCCCCAGCTTGGCTGAAATGTTTTAGAGAAACCCTATAAAAAGAACACCTCTAGTCACTAGTCTGCAAGCAGGACATTTGCACAGTTTTATGCTAATTTTAAACAACCAACATAGTGGCATGAAAGTTCTATCTATTTACAGATAACTGAAGCAAAACCGCAGTGTGACAACAAAGCAGCTGATTCTAATTAAACAAGCATCTCAGAACTGAGCAAGATCCTAATCGCCAGCAATTTCACTGCAACACTCAACGGGCATGAAGGTGCTTTCAAGGATTCTGGATTTAAGTCCTCCTACACAGAAACCTACAGGATTACTCATTTCTGATCTTCAGATTTTAAAAGCCTTAATTTCCAAAATTTTTGATTGTGAAAGAGTTCCTTGAACAGAAGTGAGACATTTCATTAATGCCGCAAGCTGCCTCCAGAACAGTTCTCAGCCTGATAGTCTACTTAAGCACTAATTAGTTCCAGTGATACAACTATCAATTAAATCCTCCATAGTTCTGCCAAACACTAAAGTTTCATGTTACAGGAGTTCGTTTTGTTTAGATTTAACTTCTGAAGACTCAATTTAACCACTTTTCTTACACATGCATAAGCACCAAACGACTAAATATTTACAAATCAACATTTTAGCAAGAATTTTGTTGATGAGAAAATAAAGCAGATAGCATGGGAGTAATTACTAGGACACTAGGAAAAATGTTGATTTTCTTACCTTGTCTGATAGACACGTTTCGTTCGTTACCAGCCGTGAGCACAACTTGCGGGAGACTCTGCTCAAATACAAACAGCTCGTCTTTCCCGACTTTGGAGTTCTTGCCTGATTTCATGGTTCCGCTCGGACCGCTGGGAACCAGGTACTTCCCCGAGCAATCTCTGAAGGCCACCTTCCCCGATCTAAACTCCAAGGTGTAGCCCGTGGTCTTGTCGGTGCAAGAGGTCAGCGTGCCATCGTTCTTGAGGAACCGGTTATCGGAGGTCTGCAGATGGTAGCGCAGATCTTGGAAGACCAGAGTGATCATTGAATCGACGCCCCATGGGGTATCCTTGTCGATGACGATCTCGCCCTGCTCGGCCACCAGGTGAGCGTATCTTTTTCGGATAACGCTGAAGATGTTGAGCTGCGGGTGCATTGCGAAATGCACGACCCATTTCTCGGCCAAGGTTATGGTCTGGGCGAAGCAAGTGATCCGGTCTTCAGTGCCACCGAGATAGCGCTTGTGAGGCTCGGACTGCAAGGACCACTGGCCATCGTCGTGGGCGATGATCGTGAACCTGCAATCCACGCTGGGCGTCTCACTGTCACCTGTAACGTTACCATCTTTGTCACTCGCGATGTACCTGCCCAGGTGACTTTTCAGCATTACAGTGTTAGAATCATCGCCATCCTGCTCCAGCGTCCAGATCTGTTTCTTCTTCATGCTGGTTGCCGAGGCATTGATCTTGAACCCAAACGTTTCTGCTGTAAGATACTTGTTTCCGCAACTAATGAGTCCAAGCTGGATCTGAAGTACTTCACTGGTCCCATTCGCCGTCATGGTCGTTGGAGGTTTAGGAAGGGAAGAGGAATGATGCTTGCTTCTCAAGGACAACGATTAGGTTTTACCGGTGCTGGAGGAAACTGGCTTATTTCTGTGGAGCCACACGATCCGCGACATCTACTCTCAGACCGCGGAGTTTTAGTCACAGCTGTAGCTTTTATATAGAGGTGTGATGTCAGTGATACGGCTCCGCCTCCGGTTTAAATGGGGGGTAAACTGCAATTAAACCTGTCCCTCTATTATTTTGTCCCGCGTCCTAGAGGTTGTCTTCGGTATCAATATAATGAGAAATACATGCATTGTGATTATATAAAGTGAAGACAGATTTATGCAAGATGTTGCCAGTTATGTTCTCCAAATATATATTTAAAAAAACATAAACTGTGTTCAGTAATTTTAAAAGGAATCTTTTTCCATGCTGGGCCTACATTTATTTTCTTGCGACTTATTTGGCTATTAAAGCTGGTAATAAAATAGCTCGTTTGTGGCTCTGAATTGCATTTTCCCCCGCTGCCTGCAGGTAGATGGGAAACAATGCTGAAATTGCACATTTACCACTGTGACAAAAACAAGAACACGCTTTACAAAATGTTTTCCAGCAGCAAAAGGCAAAATAAATACAGCTTTGTCTAATTTAGGAGAACAAATAAATATATCGAAGCTAATATCAACGTTTATTGAGGTAACAGAATTGGAACTATGAATAACTAGCCTCCAGGAGTCTAGTGAAAACTACTGCAAGTAAGAAAATATACTCATCACTTAAGTGTACCATAGATTAGCCCCCCCAAGGAACACTGCATGAGACTGCATAAAGACTTCAGGGGTTAAGTCACGGAATATAATATCATTGCGTAAAGGCTGTTGCTTTGGGCTGATTATAAGTCCCGTGTCTATACTCTTCGCTAACGTGTAAGTTGCCCCGTCCTTTTATCTCACCTAATAGTCTCATGTGCACCATGAGCACTAACTCCCCTTTCTGTGGCGCTGTGGTGTTGCCCTTACCGTTCATATTTGTATAGTGATACAATATTTAGTTTTAAAAGAGATATTGATTTCTTTGATGTCAGTTGTATCCTATAGGAAGAAGGCAGGGTAGCTATTGTCTAAAATGGTAAAGTGTTAGATTATCTATCTATCTATCCATCTATCTATCTATCTATTTAGTCTGTCTGTCTGTCTGTCTGTATCGAATCTAACATCAGCTAAACATGTCTCTAAATTGCTTAGATTTGGTTATGACATGTTAGATGGTTTAAAACATGGCTGTTAGAATTTAGAGGACTATGGAAACCAAACTCAAATCTGCCACTGGAAAATATATCATTGCTGTTTTTGATGTAATTATTGTGGGATAAGGTGAGCAAATCAAACAATTTTCTTTCCGTGAATTTTCATGTTGAGGAACAGCAACACTTAAAATACATTATGGACAGTATGCATGCTACAGTGTGCCAGGGCTGGCATGAGAAAACAATTTTAGCATAATCATATAACGATGTAAAGCACATGTAAAACAAGTATGTAAATATATCAAACAATGGACGTTTCATGCAGCTTAGGAGATGGAAATGGAAATTTAAACATATTTTAAAATGTCACTGTGTGTTTTATTACGTGGTCGTGGAATTATGTGACACCAGTCCTGCTTTGTGCTGTGCTGGTGAGTGCTTGGGTCATGTGACTCTTCAACTGCTGCTCTGGACGTTTTAGTGTTGCGCTGTTCCATATGCCAACAGTTGTTCACATGCTCTGTGACATGGACCTGAATGCACATTAATGAAAATCCCAACAGAATTTAAGTCAATGATTGAAAGCCCCTCACCATTAGAGTTTGTCACAAAAGTTTTTTTTTCTGGATTTCTTCATGGCTAATATGAAGTTCCCATTTCTGAAACCAAGTGATGGTGACAGATGACAATATAGTTGGAATTGTATATGCAAGTATTGTAAAACGTAAATCAGGGTGCTCAATACCTTGATTGAGGTAGTGTGTGTAAGAGTGATATTTGGGGGAGATTAAAGCTCTCTCTCTCTCTTCCATACTCTGGTTTTGTGTCATTCCTTCTGTATTCCCTGATGACCAGAACATTTATTATCATTAAAAAACTAGATGCTTTCAGAATGGCAACATATTCCCCAGACAATCCCGTCACCCTCCTGTCCTCCATCTCATCCCAACTGCTCCCACACCCCCGACCTCTACAATATCTGTCCCCCAACACACTGTCCCCACTTCTTCAAAAAAATCTTTATAAAAAGTCTAACTTTGTGTTATCATGTCTCATTGTTATCAGGTTCACCGAATCTGCATCTCTGGCTGTCCTTTCATTTGTCGCCATTAAGTGATATTGCTTTAATTTTGGTAGAATTTGTCTTAAAATAAAATAGATGATCATCAATACAGTGTTACTGGGATGTTAGAAAAAGATCCATCAAACACTTTTTGAGTTATCACTCTAACCAGATACGTGTCTGAAACTGCCCTTTCTCTGCGGCACTGCTTTAATTTTGATGCAGCCCATCTCAAAATTAGTTCAGTTCCAGATATGCACCCATACAATGTGTCTGCAGAGTCTGGAAAAGATCCATCAAACACTTTTTGAGTTATCAGGCTAACAAGAAAATGTCTGTGGTGGCTGACCGGCCCCAAAACCATATGTATTTCCTCTGAAAAATACAATAATTGACCTGCCTATAGATGCATTTAACTGCAGACTAAGTTGATGTCCAGATTGTGCAGACATAGTCTATGGGTTATATGCGGTATCCTTTTACAGGATGTGACGGAACGAGCCCTTGTACAGAAACCACACAATGTCTTTCCACTGAAACACTCCCAGGATAAGTCATTTCCTGTACTAATTATTTTCCTGTGTTGAGTATCTGTCAGAATGGACCTGCTTAAAACATCTGAAGACAGGAGTATCTACAAATATTAGTTACATCCATAATGCCCTCAGCTTTTTAAATTGTGAACAATGGTGCTGATGTATGTATGTCTTGGTGCTTCATGAGAGTGTTTCAGAAGTCTTTCCATGGTCGTCTAAAGTTGGTTGAATCATCTTCAGTAGAGTTAGTCTATGTCATGAATGCCTTAGACTTGTTTATCACAGTACACAGAACAGAGCTGAGTTTGTTTCTTGCATTTCAAGTGTATGGGACCTCCTTGTTAGAGTAAAATGCTTTGGCTTGCTTTATGTCCATTTAGACATGTCTCATAAAATTATCACCAACTCAGGAAGTATGCTCATTATTTTTAAAGAAGGATTGTTCACGAAAACAGTGACATGCACGGTTTATAATTAGTATGACATACTTTATATGTATGCAGGTGGCTGCTTTGAGGTTTTGGCCAACAGAGGTGCCCTCTCCCAAAAAAGCCTGAAATCTATGCTAAACACAGGGCTCCATGCATGTGTTTTGGAGTCCAAAAAGGGCACTGGCAGTTCTATCTTTTTGTAGTCATAAATATTGATTTACTTTTGAAACTATCTATGCATCTTTGATTTCATTTTTGGCATTCTGGGGGAAACCAATGAACAGTCATTGATATTGTGTCAGAAAAAAATGTCGGTACATGCACACATCTTGTGTGACCTTCTCTTTTCCAGGGTCTCAGGTATGAACTAGTGCTAAAGTGTGGGATCACACAGGTACCCTAATTCATATGGGTGTGGTCTGCTATGGTGGTGAAAAGTCTCACTGTTTGTGCACTAGTGCCTGCCAGATAAGGCCAAATAAGATAATATATAGGTCTATATAGGACTGGAAATTCTTTTCGTACAGCAGTGAGATATGTAAAGCACACAGGCATATATATTCAAATGTGCAAAGACAAAATCACAGTGCAAAAAAGTACCATTGGATGCTATAACTAGCTGTTGTGATTTTGGGAGTAAAAATATTTATCTTGGCCAACCAAGAGCAGTAGACATGGGGAGGCAGATTTCCTCCTGTCAGATAGCGAGCATTGCCCCTTTTGATCTGTTATTGCCACATCCTTTCGTACATTCCAAGACAAATATTTTTTTATCGTCATTGCCGTCAGCCATTAAATCCTTGTGGTGTGCACGGAAAAAAGGATAGGGTGCATCGTATTGATAAAACAGGATAGTCGACTGTCCAACCCAGAAAACTCTGAAATAAACACAGTAATCTCGAGTGTGAGAAGGCGGAATGACGTCACTTTGTGGAAATGGTTTTGGAAAGGAAAAAGGCTCTAGGTTAGATGCAGAGCATGCAGATGTAGGTCAAGCCTGTAGACGCAGAGGGGAGGGAGGGACGGTGCATTGCGCTGGGATCCCAGGGGCTCGGCGTCCCAGATAAATGCCCCCAGATCCTGTGTTTCAGGTTCATGCTGCTCTTGTAGATCCCAGGACCCTTTTGACAGGAACAGGTTACTCTATGTAAGCAGCAGACCCTGCTTTTGCTGCAAAATGGCGAGAAATTCAATGCACTTATTGTATTATGTGTTAATGTATCACAAAGATTCCTTTATCGAACTAGAGGAGGTACTACACTGTTTCATGATTTAAAATCATTTTTCCACTGGTAAGGACCCCTGTAGGGCTAAAGAGAAATGAAGGTCAACTATATTGGCTGTAAATAATTCAGGGCTTGTAAGGTCGGGACTTTTATTTTGATGGTTATGCGTTTCATGCCGTCCATATCAATCTCCCTGCGTGAAGGTCTGCATGCAGCACACGCTGCCGCCGGGTTTTTATACCGCATTTGTATAATGAGCCGGATTAAAAATAATATGCAGAGAAGAAGCCCGAGTGAGAAGTGGTGTACAGACCTACAAGGTCAAGAAGCTAATTACCGAGTCTCCAGTTTCCCAATCCGCTCCTCGGGGACCCAGAGCCGCTCTACGTTTTTGCTCCCTCCGAGCTCCCTGCCAGAAAATCCACATTTTTGCTACTTCCCAGCTCCCTACGTTAAACCCTATATGTCCTATAACTGAAAACTTTGCAAAATGTATGGAAGTTGTGTCCGTAAATGGACAAAAGCTTAGTGCTCCAGGAAGCGTAATTGTGCATGTTCTATCCTGAGCTTAATATGTGGCAATTCACCTAATTCATAAGACATTTCAATAAATAAATTGATGATAAGGTGATGATGAAATCAGATATTCTCCATATTGAAAAACAGGCCAAGGATGATTGTTTTAAAAGACAGATAATGACTGATTGTTTTGTATATAGCATTGCATGGGTACTGCCTATTCCCCCTTTCTGGTCATTATAACCTTTGTTATGCACCATTGTACAC